ATTCATTTTCCACTCAGCAGTCAAAGTGATGTTCTCAAACATATCTCATGCCAATCTAATACTGTTTAACGGCTCACCTTTGTCCACAGGTTAAAGATTAAATTTCTTATTGTGCATTTTGCTCTTTATGATTCACACAATCAGATCTACTTACCTTTGCAGTTGAAATTCTCGCCACTTTACTCCTGGTGATACCAAATGTTCAGTTTCTCAAATGTGCCAAACTCTCTTCCCTTCCCCTATCAAGTTACATTTGCACTGAATCTTCATACCCTTGATCCCCCTTCGTCTGATTCACTCCTACTAATTCTTTAGGTCCTACCTTGGTACTCACCTCCTGACCTGACCTGGACTAGGTTAGAGACTGTTGCTAGATCACTAAGTATTTTGCTAATCAAGCACTTACCTAATCAAGCACTTAAGTAATCAAGGACCACATTGTCTTTTGCTTCTAAATAATTTTGCAAGGAACAGTCTTACACTCAAGCCTTTGTACAGACTATCTGAAAGATTAGGTCCTAGAAGAGGAATTTCTAGGTCAAAGATGATGATTTTTGGGTCGGCCCCGTGGCTCAGCGGTTGGGTGCGCGCGCTCCGCTGCTGGCGGCCGGGTTCAGATCCCTGGCGCGCGCCGACGCACCGCTTCTCCGGCCATGCTGAGGCCGCGTCCCACATACAGCAACTGGAAGGATGTGCAGCTACGATGTACAACTATCTACTGGGGCTTTAGGGGAAAAAATAAATAAATAAAATTATTAAAAAAAAAAAAGATGATGATTTTTTGACTAACAGATACTGTCAAGTTGATTTTTATAATTAAGTTGTATGATATGCCATTTCCCTCTACCTTCACCTTAGTGTATCATCAAAGTGTTTGTTCATTGTTAATCTGCTATAGAAAGATTAGCATATCATTTTCCTTTGCATTTCTTGGATAATGAGTAAGATTATCTTTTCAAAAATAAAGAATGTTTGCATTTCTTCTAGGTTCTGCCTGCATGGATCTTACCTACATGTGGACTTTTCCTTATTGATTTACAAAAGCCTCTAATCAGAAGAAATTTGCTTTGCCTGTCATATGTGTTTGTTATTTGATTATGGATTGTTCCACTATCCAGATTCTTTTTATGAAATCACAGCTATCTTTCATGGCTTCCTAGTCTGCTTTAGAAAGTCTCTCCATTTTGAAATTATAAAAACACCCTCTCACATTACCTTGTACTATTTTTATAGTTTCTTTTTTAAAAATTTAAATCTGGAATTTATTTTTGGTTTGAAAGTAGATGAAAGATACAACTTCTTTCCCCCATGTGGAAAGCCAGTTTTCCCAAAATTATTTATTGAATAACCTACATTTTGAGGAAACTGCACCATTGATTGTTTCTATTTTCTTTGTGAAGTAGAAGTTGCTATCATCTGCTGAGAGGGAGGTGCTAAAGTCTGAGGTTTAAGGAAAATTAAAAATGGGAAAGAAAAAGAAACCAAGAATATTAGATATTAAAAGCCTAGTTAAGCTTGGAAAGCAGAACCTTGCCATGGCCACCACCCTGATATTAGAGGATTGTATTTAGTAGTGCTCAACTGGCTATAAAAGCGTAAGAGGTAGACAGTTGAATTTGTGCAGTGTTGAATTTTAACAGGAAGGTGAGAGGAAAAAGAATGGAAAGATAGAGGACAGAGTGATGGACCATTAAGTCTAAGATAAATAGTAAAGGGAATTAAATAGAAGGTAGTCTGGTAACAACTCTCTAACCTAGTGGCTTAAATGACAACATTTATTTTGCTCACAAACCTATAATTTGGGCAGGGCTTAGCCCAGGCTGTTCATTGTTGCCCCACATCACCTGGGGCAGCTGGCTCCAAGGCTGAGAATCAACTGAAGGCGGCTATGTTCCAAGAGCAAATATCCAAGAACACGAGAGAAACGTTGTATCATCTTTGATGACTGTGGTTTGACCAAATAATGGCTCTCCCAAAGATGTCCACATCCTCATCTCTGGAACCTGTGAATGTTACCCTACATGGCGAGGGGACTTTGTAGATATTATTAAAGACTTTGAGATGGGGGATTATACTTGATTATCTCTGTGGGTCCAATGTAATCAAAAGGGTCCTTACAAGAAGGAAGCCAGAGGGTCAGAGTCAGAAAAGATGTGAACAATGGAAGCAGAGGTTGGGGTGATGTGATTTGAAGATGGAGGAACGGGCTATGGGCCAAGGAATGCAGGTGGCCACTAGGTGCTGGAAAAGACAAGGAAACTGATTCATCCCTGAAGTCTCTAGAAGGAATGCAGCCCTGCCAAACACCTTGATTTTAGTGCCATACGACTCATTTTAGACCTCCAGAACTGTTAGTTAACAAATCTGTGTTCTTTCAAGCCACTAAATTTGTGATAATTTGTTATAGCAGCAATAGGAAACTAATATAGATAACTTAGATACTGAAGTTACATAGTGCCACTTCCACCATAGTTACAGACCTAGCCAGACCATGGTGGGAAACAGACCACCAACTCCCAATAGAAGAGTGTCAACATCACATTGAAGAAGATCATGTTGGACGGGAGATGTTAGTGTGGTTATTTTTGGAAAACAGTATCTGCAATAGAAGGAAAAATAGAATCAACTTGATTAGTTAAGGCCTAGATGGTCGGAAGCCTAGCCTGCAGGAGCTGAGTATATGTAAATCTTCATTAGGCCTTAACCATGAACACTTTCCAATACGTAGCCTTTCAAGACTAGGTGCTTCCCAGAAGTTATAGGCACTCTGGAGTGGTAGTAGCAAAAATCTGGGAATATATTTTGAAACTGTTTCAAATATCTATAAAAAATACCAGTAAATGGAATTTGACATTTTGTATAAGGAAATAAAGAGGACATCTATTATTTCACACTTGAAGGATTATATAATACTGGGGATGGTAGAGGTTAGGAGGGGACAAAAAATAAAGTTTGGGATTTGACATTCTCATTCTGAAACCATCATACATGTGGTACCAAAGATTCCTCCTAACAAGTACCCCATTTTCTTTATTATCTCAAAAGGCAAGCAATCATTAGCTTCTATAAACTGTTTATGTTTTTTAGAAAATGCAATTTTAAAAAGGGTATATTATGTTCTCTTAAAGGATTTTCTTCCATTAATGATTAAAAAATAAACACATTCTGAAATGCTCACCCAAAACAAAGCTAAAAATTTTCCAAAAGATGCAAGAATGCAAACTAATTTACTTGAAAACAAATCTTTTTTTTTTTTTATTTATTTTTTCCCCCCAAAGCCCCATCAAACCCAGTAGATAGTTGTATGTCATAGCTACACATCCTTCTAGTTGCTGTATGTGGGACGCAGCCTCAGCATGGCCGGAGAAGCGGTGTGTTGGTGCGTGCCCAGGATCCGAACCTGGGCCGCCAGCAGCGGAGCACATGCACTTAACCGCTCAGCCAGGGGGCCAGCCCGAAAACAAATCTTATTTAAAGAAAAATGCATGCAAAAATGAACAGGTTTTCATAAATAAAGCCATTTTAAACCAGTAGCCCAAGAGAAAAGAATCTCAATATTAAGACTTTAGTTTGAGAATGAACTATTTGATTGTTTTAAGAGCTTTATTGAGGTATAACCAACATATAATAAACTGCACATATTGAAAGTGTACAATTTGATGTTTGACACTCACATATATATACAACCATATATATATTTATATACACACCCACAAAATCATTTTCATAATCGATAGTGGATATTTTCTCCACTCACAAAATAATGCACCTTATTTCTAATATTGGTAGTTTATGCATTTTTATTTTCGTGATCAGTCTAGCTAGAGGTTTACCAATTATATCGATCTTCTCAATGAATCAACTATTTCCCATTGATTTTTCTCTATTGGTTTTGTTTTCTAGTTTATTGATTTCTGCTCTGAGCTTTATGATTCCTTTTCCTCTAATTACTTTGGATGTTAATTGCTTTTATTTATTTCTAAGGTAAAAGCTGAAGTTATTGATTTGAAACTTTTCTTCTTTTGAAATATAGGCCTTCAGTGAGGTAATTTTGCTCTAAATCTGCTTAGCAGCATTCCACATGTTTTGATATGTTGTGTCTTCATTTTCATTCTGTTCAAAATAGTTTCTAATTTCCCTTTTGATTTCTTTGACACATGGCTTATTTAGAAGTGTGACATTTAATTTCCAACTATTTATGGGTTTTCCAGAGATTTTTCTGTTATTGATTTCTAATTCAGGTGAATACTTGAGGGACCTTTTGTAGATCTCCAAAGTTCTGTGTAACTTGTCTCCTGCAAACTTCAAACTCTGTCCTGCCAATTTGGTCTCCCCAGATCTCAGCTCTGTCTTTTCAACTCAGATAGTTGGATGGGCTGTGCCTGGGCTCTTCCCTTCCTTACATCATAGTTTGGAAATTCTCTCAAGACTGTACACAGGAAGCAATCATAGGGCTTGCCTTGATTTTTCCACCTCTCAGGGATTGTTGTCTTTTGTTGTCTCATGTCTAGCATCTTGAAAATCATTCTTTTGTATACTTTGCCTAGTCTTTTGATAGTTTTAGGGGTATGGGGGTGTGCGTGTGTGGAGGGTAGGGAAAGGAGCCATGTGTATCCAATCCCTGTTACTCCATCTTAGCTAAAAGCAGAGGTCTTGAACTATTTGATTTTATTAGACAATTTTTCTAATTTCTATATTTCTTCTGAACTTAATCCAAATAATGACATTCAAAAATTAAACCATGCATTAAGATCTAATAAAATAATTTGTTATGAAAAGCTATTCTAATTGTTAATAGTCTCTGTTGGTCCATCAATGGGGAAACATTACAAAAAGTCGCTTATAATAACATACCAACTGTGTAAATCAGATATTTTAGATGAAGCATTACCACTTTCTACTATTTGTGATTCTGGGGACAAGGTGGGGAGGGAGGGCATAGACAATAAATACACTTTAAATAGAAGCATTATTCATATAATACAAGTTGAATAATTGGGTAATTGACTTAATATGTGATTTTATTTCATATTACACAAATTTTAATCACAGTAGTCAGGCAGATGCTAAGCAGTATAAGAAATTCTCTAAAGAGTTTATGAGCAGTTTCTCAGATTTTTAGTGTATCTTAGTGCATCTAAGAATTAACTGCAGAGTTTATTAAAAATGTAGATTTTCAGGCCACACTCCAGATTTCAATTTAGTAGGACTGGGATGGAGTCTAGGAATCTACAAATTATCGAGCAACTCAGTGACTCTGGTAAGAGATAGAGAGATTACTATGGAGTTAAACACACCCTTATTTCTTATTTGAACTGGATAAATGGATGATGGGTAGGACAGAATGAACATCACTAGGTGAATCAAAGTAGAGGCAAGAACAAGCCAAGGTGTTTTAGCCTAGCTTAAGAGGTTCAGATTGGAAAAAGCCTCCAGTATCAAACTAAAAAACCTGAGGATGAGAATCTTGAAAACATCTAAGGTTTCAGAATAGGAGAATAATAATATGGAAGTGATTTTTAAAGGAATGTTGATTTGATGGGATGAGTTGTAAAGCTGGAAAGCCAGTTAGAAGGTTTAGAATGAGGTGATAAATGTGAGCATCATGGAAGAGGTACTGGCAATAGAAAATAAAATGTCAGAAAATGTATTAGTAAAAAATGTTGAACTTCCTTTCACATACCTAAGGATAGGAAGTAATATGAAATACAACATTAAAAAATATTTACTACAAACAATAATAATAATGGCAACAAAAATAAAAATAATAAGAATGAAATAATCTTCAACAGGTTTCTTAGATGTTCACTTGCATGATTCTTGAAACTCCATAGGAGCTCAGTAGCAGTTTGTATTGCCTAGAAGGATTATTAAACAGTGGTATTAGTTCTCTAAATTAAAACGAATTCATCAGTCACTAGAAACTAAAAAAACAAGCACCCTCTATTTTTTCTAAGGCAGATTAAGCAATGCTTGTGTTCTGTAGATTAATTTTATTCATATTTCTTCATTCACTATATCAACTAATTTTGATTTATTATTAAAGATACAAAGATTCACAGTCAAGAAAGAGAGAAAATCTATTTCTCCAAAACTATAAATTAGACATTTAGGTTAAAACGCTAAGGGTATGTTAGAGGGAATAATTCTGGTGAGGGGCAGGTAGGAGCAAAAAGGCAGGATGAGGCTTCAAGGAAGATGGAGTTTGAACTGGGCTTAAAGGAGCCGGCCCAGTGGTGCAAGCAGTTAAGTGCGCGCGCTCCGCTGCAGCAGCCCGGGGTTTGCTGGTTTGGATCCCGGGCGCGCACCGACGCACTACTTGTCAAGCCATGCTGTGGTGGCATCCCATATAAAGTGGAGGAAGATGGGCACGGATGTTAGCCCAGGGCAAGTCTTCCTCAGCAAAAAAAAAAAGAGGAGGATTGGCAGATGTTAGCTCAGGGCCCATCTTCCTCACAAAAAAAAAAAGGACAAGTGGGATTCAGACATATGGAAAACAGAGAGCATGGAAGGAGGAAAGAAAAGACATTTTACAAAAATCTCTTAAAGCAAATCCAAAGGAAGATGATACTTCTATACATTTACTCATTTCTTACCTTCTTTTAATGGGGTTTTGAGAGCAAAATTTTCTTTACTTTCATGAACAAAAGCCTTTGAAGGATCAAAGTGTTTGACACCCAGAACTTTATTCAATTCCTCCTGCAGTTTTGTCTCATTTTGTTTTCTTTTAGCAAGCTGACAGCGGAGTTTTGATACCTCCTATGTAAGAAAAATATAGACAATAATCAATTATTAAAGAGCGTGTTGGTGAAATGTGTTACTAATGTTACTGACAAATTCCAAAGTTGCTCATGTATCAAACCAAATAGCAAAAATCACTACCAGATACAGGCTTTAGACTATGAATTACAAAGTGGCTTTGAACAGCTGTGACAAAAGAGATAATGAGTCATTTAAATCTTCTTGTCCCTCTACAGGCACAAAGCTTTGTTTCTGATAAAAGTTATCTGCAAATTAAATGCCGAGATCAACTTCTGGCATGACAGCATGAGAAGCTCACTGACTTGCTTCCTAGTGAAACTAAAAATTATAGAAAGACAACCAATTAAAGCCTCTAAAAATGGTTTCTAAGGCAAAACAGCCAACGAAGAAACATCTATTCAAGCATATCTACAAAAATGTGGTAAAAAAAAGGCGAGGGTCTGTGGTATTTGAACAAAGCCTGCTTTCTCTCTCCCCACTCCCAGCTCAGCAAGGCAAACACTCCAGCCAGACTGCGGTAGCCAAGAGCACAGGCTCCCTCTTCCCCTAGCTCCAGTCAGAGGCTTCTCCTCCCAGAAGGAGCAAGACATCAGCATTTCTCATCTTGCCACACTCAGCTACCTGTTGCTGAGGCCACGTCCCCAGGAAATGAGAGGGGGAGGATCCATTCTTCAGTGGAACAGAGGCTCTACCTTGGGTGTGGTGGGCTGAAAATGCTGGGACCCTGATCACCCTTGCCCTGGCTCATAAAGTGATGGTTCCACGCCAGAAGAGGTAAGCTGAGAGAACCTCAGGGTGCTCCCCACTCCCCTCTCCCCCAAGTCCACAGAGCACTCAGCTCCTAGGGCAGAGGTGTCCCTCAGAGAAAAGCCTGCCATTGTCCCCAATTCCAGCTCCAGAGCCTTGCCTCAGAGATTTCACCTGCGGGGAGAAGCAGGCCCGAAAACACAAAGCTCCTAATTTCTTCCCAAAGGAACTGACTTCACTTTCAACAAAGCTTGGAGAAGTTAAAGCCAAAGGGCACTCTAAATAACAGTAGAGGTTGTGGTTTAAGGGAATTGGGAGGTAATTCAAAATATAGGCTACACTGTAGATTGTCTAGTTTGTAGAAGAGCACTGGTGAATAAGACAGTTGGGAAGAACTCTTCTGGAGTCAGAACAAAATCAATCACAGACCTCAGACACAATTCCAACAAAGGAAACAGAATTTGACTGGATTAGTTTGTAGAGCAATTTATGCCCCAGGGCATTGTTGAAAATAATAGAGCAATAAGCAACTAGTTATCCAGCAATAGCGGAGTTTAACATGTGGTCAGGGAAAGAGAGGAAGACAGCCCTACCAAAACCAGTGTTATCCCAGGGTGACTGTGGGCATACCCCACACTGAACCTCCCTGAGTAGCAACATCAGAGGCACAACACTCTTGGGGATGGAGAGGAGAAATACACTTCACTAAAACAATCCAGCCAATTACTAAACAAACAAACAAGAAAATACAACACACCTGGAAGGAGAGGGCAGTACCCTGAGGTGCCACAATATATTATTTAAAATATCCACTTTCCAACAAAAATTTACAAGGTGTGCAAATAAATAGGAAAGCATGACCCATACATTGGGAAAAAGCAGGGAACAAAAGCTGCTCATGAGAGTAATAAGATACTGGATTTACCCAAAAAAGACTTTAAGGTAGCCACTATAAATATGTTCACAGGGGCCAGCCCCGTGGCGTAGTGGTTAAGTGCGTGTGCTCCGCTGCTGGCGGCCTGGGTTCAGATGCTGGGCGCGCACCGAGGCATTGCTTGTCAGGCCATGCTGCGGCGGTGTCCCATATAAAGTGCAGGAAAATGGGCACGGATGTTAGCTCAGGGCCAGTCTTCCTCAGCAAAAAAAAAAGAAAAAGAAAAAAAAGAAAAAAAGAGGAGGATTGGCATGGATGTCAGGGCTGATCTTCCTCACACACACACACACAAATATGTTCACAGAACTAAAGGAACTAAAAAAAGTGCAAAGACTCAAACTACTAGAATCAGAAATGAAAAAGGAGACACTACTACTGACCTTACCTAAATAGAAAGGGTTATAGAGGAATACTATGAATAATTCTATACCAACAAATCAGATAACTTGAAGGAAGTGGACAGATTCCTAGAGACATAAACTACTGAAACCGCCTCAAGAAGAAATAGTCAATCTGAACAGACTTATAACAAGTGAAGAAATTGAATTAGTAATCAAAAACTACCCACAAAGAAAAGCCTAGGTCCAGATGGCTTCACCACTGAATTTTACCACACATTCCCTGAAGAATTAATACCAATTATTCACAAACAATTCCAAAATATAGAAAGGATGAAACCCTTCCCAAATCATTTTATGAGGTCAGCATTACCCTGATACCAAAATCAGACAAAGACATTACAGGAAACCGACAGACTAGTATCTATTAGGAATATGGATGAAAAAGTCCTCAACAAATACTAGTGAAGCAAATCCAGCAACATATAAAAGGAATTATACACCATGACCAAGTAAAATTTATCAGGAATGCAAGGTTGATTTAACATCCAAAAATCAATTAATGTAAGAAATCATGTCAATAGAATTTAAAAAAAATCACACGATCATCTCAAAAGAAACAGAAAGGCATTTGACAAAGTTGAACACCTTTTCATGATAAAAACACTAAAAAAAACCTAGAAATAGAAGGAAACTTCCTTGATAAAGAGCATCTATGACAAACTCACAGCTAATATCATACTTAATAGTAAAAGTCCAAATGCTTACCCCCAAACCAGGAACAAAACAAAAATGTCCACTCACACCAGTTCTATTTAACATTGTACTGGAGGTTCTAGCCAGGGAACTTAGGCAAGAAAAGAAAATCAAAGGCATTCAGATTAGAAAAGAGGTAAAACTATTTCTATTTACAGATGATCTTCTATACAGAAAATCCTAAGGAAACCACTAAAAAACTATTATGACTAATAAATGATGAGTTCAGCAAGGTTGCAGGACACAAGATCAATCTACAAAAATCAATTGTATTTCTATACACTTGCAATGAACCATACAAAAATGAAATTAAGAAAAACAATATCATTTACAATAGCATCAAAAAAGAAGAAAATACTTGGGATTAAATTTAACAAAAGAAGTTTAAAACTTATACTCTGGGGGCTGGCCCGGTGGCGTAGTGGTTAAGTTTGCGTGCTCTGCTTTACCAGCCTGGGGTTCACGGGTTTGGATCCTGGATGCGGACCTACACACTGCTCATCAAGCCACGCTGTGGCAGTGTCCCACACACAAAATGGAGGATGACTGGCATGAATGTTAGCTCAGGGACAATCTTCCTCAAGCAAAAAGATGAAGATTGGCAACAGAAGTCAGCCCAGGGCCAATCTTCCTCACCAAAAAAACTTATACTCTGAAAACTACAAAACATTGTTGAAGGAAATTAAAGATCTAAATAATTGCAAAAACATCCCATGTTCATAGAGTGAGAGACTTAACATATATAAGATGGCCATATGCCTCAAATTGAGAAGATGACTTCTCTAGAAATTAAAAAGCTGATTCCTGAATTCATATGGAATTGCAAGGGACACAGAATAGCCAAAACAATCTTGAAAAAGAGGAACAAAGTAGGAGGACTCATGCTTCCTGGTTTCAAAACTTATCACAAACCAACAGTAATCAAGGCAGTGTGGTAGCACAGGATGGGTGTATAGATCAATGGAATACATTTGAGAGTCTAGAAATAAACCCACACATATATGGTCAACTGATCTTCAACAAGGGTGCCAAGACCATTCATTGAGGAAAAGAATAGTCTCTCCAACAAATGGTGTGGGAACAACTGGATATCTACACGTTAAAGAATGAAGCTGGACCCTTACCTCACACTGTACCCAAAAATTAACTCAAAATGGATCAATGATCTAAATGTAAGAGCTAAAATTATAAAACTCTTAGAAATAAACATAGTGGTAAATCTTTATGACCTCGAATTTGGCAAAGGATTGTTAGACCCAAAGGACAAGCAACAAAGGAAAAAAAAGATATGTTGGACTTCATCAAAATTTTGTGCTCCAAAGAACATCATCAAGAAAGTGAAAAGACAATGCACAGAATGGGAGAAAAATATTTTCAAATAATGTATCTGATAAGGGACTAGTATACAGAATACAAAAAGAATTCTCACAATTCATTAAAAAGACAAATAATCCAATTAAAAAAACAAGCAAAGGATCTCAATAGACATTTCTCCTAGGAAAATATACAAATGGCCAATAAGCACATGAAAAGATGCTCAACATTACTAGTCAATAGGGAAATGCAAGTCAAAGCCACTCTTAGGTATCACTTCATATCCACTAGGATGGCTAGAATCAAAAAGTCAGATAATAACAAGTATTGGTGAAGATGTGGAGAAATTGGAACCCTCATACATTGCTGGTGGAATGTAGAAGGATATGGCTGCTTTAGAAAACAGTCCCCCAGTTCCTCAAACAATTAAACATAGAGTTACCATATGACCCAGCAATTTCCCTCATAGGTATAACCCAAGAGAAACAAAAATGTATGTCCACACAAAAACCTGTACATGAATGTTTACAGCAGCATTATTCATAATAGCCTACAGGTGGAAACAACCCAAATGTCCATCAACCGACAAATGGATAAATAGTGACATATCCACACAATGAAATATTAGGGCATAAAAAAGAATAAGTACTGATACATGCTACAACATGGATGAACCTTGAAAACATTATGCTAATCAACAGAAGCCAGTCACGAAAGACCACATATTATTTGATTCTACAAATAAAAAATGTCCAGGGGCCGGCCCAGCGGCATAGCAGTTAAGTTTTTGAGTTCTGCTTTGGTGGCTTGGGGTTTGCTGATTTGGATCCTGGGCGCAGACCTACTCACCGCTCATCAAGCCATGCTGAGGTGGCATCCCACATAGAAGAACTAGAAAGACTTACAACTAGGATATACAACTATGTACTGGGGCTTTGGGGAGAAAAAAGAAAAAGAGGAAGATTGGCAACAGATGTTAGCTTAGGGCCAATCTTCCTCAAAAAAAGAAACATCCAGAATCAGGAAATTTATAGAGACAGAAAGTAGATTAGTGCTGGGAGGGGCAGATGAGGAGATGGGGGAGATGATAGCTAAAGTGTAAGGGGTTTCACTTTGAGGTGATGAAAATGTTCTAAAATTCACTGTGGTGATGGCTGCACCTATCTGTGAATATACCAAAAACGATTGAGTTGTACACTTTATTTTTATTTTTTTATTTTTTGTGAGGAAGATCAGCCCTGAGCTAACATCCATGCCAACCCTCCTTTTTTTGCTGAGGAAGACTGGCCCTGAGCTAACATCTATTGCCAATCTTCCCCCTTTTTTTCCCTTTTTCTCCCCAAAGCCCCAGTAGATAGTTGTATGTCATAGCTGCACATCCTTCTAGTTGCTGTATGTGGCACGCCGCCTCAGCACGGCCAGACAAGCGGTGCGTTGGTGGGCGCCCAGGATCTGAACCCGGGCCACCAGTGGCGGAGTGCGCACACCCAACCACTAAGCCACGGTGCTGGCCCCGAGTTGTACACTTTAAATGGGCAAATTGTATGGTATGTGAACTATATCTCAACCAAAAAAACTTCAACGCCTAACTACTGTTGAATGCTGCTTATCCTTTTGGTATTTAATTACATCAATGACTTGCCTATTTTGCAAATAGAAATGGATGTGTAAAACTTGATGAATTCTTCCAATTACACTAGTAAGTTTCAATATACTAATGAGGTAGTTGGAAAACCTGAGAACACTCATACCCATCTGGTCAACACTCTAAAAAAATCTGTAATTCTCAGACGGATTTTCCTCTATAAACTATTAGTTTTTTCTGACACCAAAGTCCTTCATTTTACTTAAATGTTATAAACAGAATAAAAAATATCCCACCCCAATATCTTCAATAGAACTAACTGTGTTATTTTACAAACCGATTTGAGTTGGCTATTTTCATCTTTCAATTTCACAACATGCTTGATTTTTTGCTTTAGGTTCTGATGACCCAATAATTTAGCATACGAATCTCTCAGTTTATTTAGCTGTTCCTGAGCTGCACCGTGTTCATTCAACAAAGCCTGTTTCTCTGCTTCAAAGGCATCCAGTTGTAGCTGAAAAAGATTTTTTTTACTAAGTTAAGACTTAAAACTGTTAAATCTTACTTGTTTCACATAAACTATGAATAAAACTAAAGTAAAGGAAAATAAAAAAACAAATGGACAAAAACAGATTATGGTGACATATTCTCAGAGCTCTTCATAAATTCTGAGACTCTTCTAAAAAACTTTGTGTTTTTCATTTCAAAGATCACTGAAACAGAGGGAAAGAAACAAGGAAAGGAGGCCAGCTAGCCAGCCTAACTAGCAGCTGGATCACCACATAACCAACACTGTCTTTTTACTCTATGTAAGTGCCAAGATTAGCATTTATCCTTTAATCTTTTAAAATTAGTGTATTAATTTGAAAAACACTGAGAAAAATCATAACCAAATAAGTATTACAAATTTACAGAGATTAATTATCAAAAGTTCATCTCAGGTGAGCCTTCTAAGCTATTAACTTTAAGTCTCTTATTAGAAGCTATTTTTTAGCCTATAAGGGCCACATTAAAAAAATGCATGCATAAAAATTTAATAAAATTTATATAAGCTTTCTTTAATAGGAAGTTAAATTGGCACAGTAAATGCACAGACAGCAAAATGATCTTACAGAAAAACCAAGTCACTGTCGTGACTGTGACAGGCAACAAAGTGAATCCTAAAACAAACACCAGGAAGTTTAGTCCCAATTGACAAACCTGAAAAGGTTTTGTTTTATCATATAGCTCTTCATAAAGGAGACGCCACTTATTCATTTCCTCAGTTAATTCTGCCATTGTGTTTTCTTTTCCACATTTTCTGTATGGGAAATTAAATTTAAAAACATGGTATATTACAAAAAATAACTTAGGGACGTAACACTCAGGTTCTAAACCTAGATTACCTCGCTTCTTCCTCTGCCAGTTGTTTCTTAAAGTCTTCATCTTGTTGCTTGAGTTGGTTCTGCAAATCAGTTATTTTTTTAAGAGAAGAAACTGTGATTTCTTTAATTTCTGCTTCTTTAAGTGCTGATTTGGTCTGCAGATCTAGAAGCATCCTTGGGTTTGAGAGAGAACAGTCCACAAAACTCCATGTAAACATTTCACAGCCATTTAAGTTACTTTTTTCCTTTCTTCTTTTTTTTTTTTTTTAACTCAAGTAACTATTCAAGAATTGTACTTTTTTAACTGTGTAAATTCTTAATTTGCGATTGAAGATCACCCAAAGCAAGCGATGGGACTACAATACCCTGCATCACTTAGTAGCTGGCTTTATTTCTCCTACATACCTTGCATATTCTTGATTTGCGCTCTCAGTTGCCAATATCTGATGTTGAACATCCTCTGTACTTTTCTCAGCCTTGGCCACTTTTTCCTGAAGTGATGAGTTCTCCAGCTTAAGATCTTCTATCTCACTAACTGTTAATGCTTTATAGCTTATTAAAAAGGAAAAAAAAAGTTAAAGGATTTTCTAACTACTGTACGCACGACAAATATATAGGCAATTAGTTTATATTTTATACACATTTAGGTAAAACAAAGCCTTATAATGCATTTATGCATACACGGGTAAGAATTTAGTGTTCTGAGGTCAGTATTAATGAGCTTATATGGCAAACGCTGTTTATTCAAAGAAAAAAAAATCAAGTGCCTACTAGGTGCAGGAAGTATGCATATAGAGATGGAAAAAACCTACAATCAAACATGAAAATTATTTCAAAACAAAAAAATTGACAGTCCTTGCACCTATAGTCACAGAGTTTATGGTCTTGTGGGGAAGATAGGGAAATGTCTCTCCAAGTCTTTGCAAAAAAATTGGAAAAATAAATATATAATTAAATTTGTGGTGAGTGTTACAAAGGAAAACTACAGAGGCACCTTAAGCTGATAGAATAGGGGAACCTATATTTTGGTTGGTGATTCAGAAAGGCCTTTCTGAGGAATTTATAGTTAAGCTGAGACATGATGGATAAGGAGGATTTAGCTAGGCAGTTAGGGGAAAGTATTTCAGAGGCAAAAGATGCATACGTGCTCAGAGGCAGGTAGAATACAGTCCATTAAGAGATGAGACTGGAGTCTAATGAATAAGAGAGGCAGGAGCAGAAGCTAGAGGCAAGAGGCCGGTCATCACCGCAGAGCACAATGGGTTTACCAGAGAGATAAAGGGGAGAAGTTAAAGGCCTCTAAGTAAGTGTATGGATTACTCCGGAGATGTGGGGAATGCATTGGGGAAAGAGCAGGAATGAAAAACCGGAAGATTCAATAGAAGACAATTATTTATCAGCCCTGGTGAGTGACAAAGGAGGCTTGGACTAAGGAGGTGGCAATGGAAAGATGTGAGATCTCGTTTAGAGGCAGAATTGAAAAATTAATGAAATAGACTGGATGTTGGGAGAAAGGGAGAGAAAAAGATCAAAGATAGCTCTAAGATTTATGGAATGAGAAGCTGGGAAGACGGCAATGTCACTGACTGAGATAAAAAAGAATGAGAGACTAGAGGTAGAAAGAGATAGAAGATCAAGAGTTGTTTTGGACAGGTTACTATTAGACGATAGTGAGATATCCACTTGGAGATGTCAAGAAGGCAGCTGGATGTATGGGTACATAGCTGAAAGGAGAGGTCTGGTTTGAAGAAATAAATTTTAATGCCATTAGATACTGATGGTGAGTGAAGTCATAGAATGGCTAAAAACCTGGTAAAGCACTATTTTTCAAAGTAGCAAGAAGGGAAGTGTTGAGAACAGTGCTAAAAATTATATATACTATATGTATATTACATATTTTATGATTTATACAATTTATATTTATGCTCTGACACATAAATTATAATTAAAATATATACACACACATATACATCTGTGTGTATATATGTCATAATATATCACATGTAGAAACAGATCACTGGGGAAAGAAGGTACTATTAAATGAACAGGCACTAGGTAGTCAGTTATCCATACGGAAAAACCACCACAAAAAAATTTGATCCCTATATCATTAAACACACAGCAATCAGTTTTACGTGGAAAAATGAAAAGTGAAACAAACTTTTAGGAGAAAAATAGATTATATATCTTCATGTTCTTGGGATAGAAAGAAGTTCTTAAATGAGATGCAAAAGTGTTCACATAAGAATCTATAAATTTAACCACGTTAAAATCAAGAATTTTCATTAATCAATAGAAACCATAAAGACAATGATAAGATAAGCCACACTTTGGGAGAAGATATTTGCAACCCATATTGCTGATAAAAACTCTATAAATCAATGAGAAAAAGAAAATGATCCCATAGAGAAAACAAGAGTCATATAACAAGCCTTTTACAGAAAAGGAAAGACGAATTCTTCTTATCCACAATAAGAAGCCATTTTACACTTAGTACACTGGCAAAATTGAAGCAGTCTAACAAGCTTTGGGGAAGAAGTAGATCAATGGGAACTCATACATCACTAGTGGGAGTGTAGACTCTCACCCCACTTTGTAAAGTGATTTGGCATTAAATTTTAAAGTTGAACACTCATATACGTATGAATTTAGAGTAATTCTTACATGTGCATCCTAGGAGATTACAAGAATATTCATAAGAGTACTATTAATAATAACAAAATAAATAGGAATAATAATAAAAGAAATGTTTTGGGAAACAACTCAAAAGCCCAAAGTGAGAATGGAGAAATAAATTGTTGTATATTAATAAGATATTAAAATATTCTATAGCAGTTACCATGAACAGACTACAGCCTACAGTCAACAATGTGATTCAGCCCTAGAAACACACATAGTGAAGAATTTTAAAAAGAGAAGTCTCAGGAAATGGCATATACTATGATGACATTTTTTCATGAATTTCAAGAAGAAGCAAAATTAGATAATATATTATTTGTATGGATATACATGTTATAAAATTATACACAGAAAAAAGTGAGGAAATAATTAACGTCAGCTTTGAGATGGAGTTATCTGTTGGGGGAAGGCATGAAGATGGGCTAGTGGAGGAACACATGTTTAGATACCAAATTGTTGATAATCTTTTGGCTTACTGGTCATCTTTTTCGGGCTCATGCATGTTGATTTTATCTTTATGCTTTGTAATTTATGCATACATTATGCATTTTTTACATTTATTAAATACATTAAATAGATAAAAGGAACAGACCTCCCCCCAATATGTTCTAAAGTAAATATGATAAATAAAAATGTTAACATTAACATACTCTTGGTGTGAGATGCATAGGTATTTATCATCCTCTGCAATTTGTAGTTATCCCCAAAATAAACTTTTATTTTTAAAGGGAAAATAACAGGTAGATGGGATAGGAAGTGAGGAAGTGGACAGAGTAAATAGAGAATGTTCTACCAAAAAGATGGGCTGTGAAGAGGAGTAGAAGTTTGGGCTAAGAAGGGTGTGGGAGTGAGAGGTGGTGTTGGATAGCTGCAGAAGGAGGGGCGGAGGTCAGAGGAGTTTTTATAAAATTTATGTATTTTAAAGATGAAGGCACATTAACATATTTTAATATTGACTGGAAAAATTCCAGTAGAAAAGTTGAAAATTATAAGAGACAAAGAACAAATGATGAAATGATGTCACTGAAGGTTAAAAGACTGGGCTACTCCATCTGTAATTGGAGGGAAGATAGGATGAGTTTTAATGCTAGTGTGTTTACAGGTCTGATGATGAGGACATAAAAGCTTTTGAATTCTTCATGAGGAAAATGACAACATCAGGAGAGTGAGACAGAAGTGCCAAAGGTCTGAGAGTGCAGGACACTTGAAGTGGGAAAGAGAAATTTCTATGTGTAGTAAGATAACCAGGTAACGCGAAATGCCCATTTACGGTTGGTCATTATGGAATTTAAATTTAATACCAACCATTCTACTTGTGCGATTGTTTTTTCACAGACTTCCCTAGGTAAACACACCTCCCTGCTCATATTCCATTTGAGAGTGCAGGCTCCCAATAAAAATACCTTTCAAACTGAGCAGTAACATGGCCGAGGTTTTGCACCACACTATCATATTTCTCCTGCAAAAGCAGGGTGGCCTGAGTGTGAGCAGCGTTCTTTTCCTCCAGTTCAGCTTCTTTCCTAAGAAAAAGGAATAATTAAAAGATAAAATGCTAACTACAAATCATTATCCTAGGAAAGAGATTAGTATTTACCTTTGACACCGTGAATCACATATCCCACATCTTCATCTTTGCATAAACTACTGGCTAGCTTAGATGTAAACTATGACCTACCTCTAATAGCATGCTTATATATGTACTAACTGTTCTTCTGCCTTTATCTTCTCTTTCCCGCTCTTATTTTACTTTTGTTTTCATCCTAATTTACTTATTTCTAAATTTATCTTTTGATATTATATGTATTTATGTAGGTACTTTAAATGTTTTTTTTTGGAAGAAGGTAGGGTAAAAAGACTCTAAAACAGAATCTTAACAGCAGTAGCCAAGATTAAAGAATGTGAAGGATTCCCAGTGAAAAAGCACTTGGATTGAATAAAATTTAATTCTCTGCATTTAAACATTTAAGAAATACTAAGTACAGTCAAAGTACTTAGTACACTTCATTTTAAAAGTTCTTTTGAGAAAAGAGTTTATAGGACTATGTAGATTTATTTTGATTATATCAATAACCCACATAATAAACCGTTATTATTTAAAGATTCAACAATTTGAGTGGGTTATTTTGCATAGACAGAATAACTTCTAAGGCATCTTTATAAATATGTACTACAAATCTCAGAGATTTTTTGAAATGTTACTGTTATATATTGCCAAAACGGTGACAAAATTTTTTATCTATGAGCTTACAAGAGATCTTTTAAAAAACATATAGAACTAAAATCCATAAATAAGCATTATTCACTTACAGACTAAGTCAAACACTGAGACAAGATAAAAAGCTGATAAAATTCATTTTGTAACAAGTAAGGCATTTTAAAATACAGTCATGCACTGCTTAGCGACGGGGGTACGCTCTGAGAAATGAGTCATTAGACGACCTCATTGTTATGGGAACATCATAGAGTGTACAAGGGGAACAAAATTTGTCACCCCAAAATGTGTCTCTTTAACATGAGGATTATTTTAGGCTATTTTTAAGAAACAAAAGACTCAAAGTTTTTCTTGTTACCTCCCCGCTTAACTGTCTAAAAGAATTCAGATAAAAAAACCTGTCTCAAGAAGTGAGCTATCACCTTAGTATAACATGCACTAGGTATAGACAGGGAGTAACCTAGAAAAGCTTGTTTGTTGGGTTCCCCTCTGTGTTCTTCTGTTTCTGTGTGGCCAAACACTTGTTTTCCAAATGTTTGCTCCTTTTCACCTACCTGTAGATTGCCTTCCTTCCCTTTGAAGTCCCTGACTCTCCCTACCCCCAACATCTTTTGTCTTTAGCTGAGGATGGTATTTAACGTGAGGGCTTTGGCCACTTTGGTGAGTTACTGGGTTTTCCTGGGTTTCTCCCACGTATACATGTTATTAAACTTTTGTTTTCCTCCAGTTAATCTGTCTCACGTCAATTTAATTCTTAGTCCAGGGCCGGCCCCGTGGCTTAGTGGTTAAGTGCACGCGCTCCGCTACTGGTGGCCTGGGTTCGGATCCTGGGCGTGCGCCGACGCACCGCTTCTCCGGCCATGTTGAGGCCGCGTCCCACGTACAGCAACCTTAGAAGGATGTGCAACTATGACATACAACTATCCACTATGGCTTTGGGGAGAAAAAAAAAAGGAGGAGGATTGGCAATAGATGTTAGCTCATAGTGGGTCTTCCTGAGCAAAAAGAGGAGGATTAGCATGGATGTTAGCTCAGGGCTGATCTTCCTCACAAAAAAAAAAAAAAAAAAAAAAATTCTTAGTCCAGCCAGAAGAACCTAGAAAAGCAGAGGGAAATTTCTTCCTCCCCTACAGTACTCAGACAAACCTACATGGTATACCCTACTATACACCTAGGTACTAATCTTATGCAACCACCTTCATATATGCAATCTGTTGTTGACCAAAACATTGTTATGTGGGGCATGACTGTATACACACCACAAACACATGCCACACGACTAAAAGCAGTCAAGTACTACTAAAGGATATGTAATAAAAATAATCTCTTGCCTGCCCTCTAGAGGAATCACTTTCAATTCTCTTAGCTCTTCTCCTAAGTCTGAAATACCAGGCTGGAAGGGACCTTGGAAAACATCTCATAAGACTCCTTTATTTTATATCTAATGAAGTAGAAAACTGAATTAAGATTGTCTTGCTCAGAATCACACAGCTAGTTAATAGACCTAGTAATAAAACCCTTATCTCCTGACCTCTGGACTAAGTTCTTTGAGTTAGAATAAAAGACTGTCTCAACTTTCTTATCTCTCTGAAACTGACATCATCTACTCAGTTTCTTAAAGTGCTTGTTCCCTGGGACTGGCTGCAATATAGAATCCCCCTAATTACACATTGGCACTGTTCCCAAAAAAGCAGGCATATATAAAACCTTGTTCTTTTTTTTTTTTTTTTTTAAGATTTTATTTATTTTATTTTTTCCCCCCAAAGCCCCAGTAGATAGTTGTATGTCACAGCTGCACATCCTTCTAGTTGCTGTATGTGGGACTCGGCCTCAGGATGGACGGAGAAGTGGTGCCTTGATGCGCACCCGGGATCCGAACCCGGGCCACCAGCATTGCAGCGTGCGCACTTAACCACCAAGCCACAGGGCCGGCCCCCTTGTTCTTTTTTATCACTAACCACAAGAAAACAGAAAAGGGGTTAATAAGAAAAATATTCAACTCAACAAGAGAGAGGAACACAGTTGTGAGATATATTATAATTCTGTAGGCTCATGTCTTGCCCATGGTTCCTTGCTAGAAAATTTTTAGTGATGAAATCCCAAGGATTTAAATAACATAATTATTTTATTTGCAATTTGAATTCAAGAATCAACCTGGACTTTTTTTTTTTTTTTGAGGAAGATCAGCCCTGAGCCAACACCCATGCCAATCCTCCTGTTTTTTTGCTGAGGAGGACTGGCCCTGAGCTAATGTCCTTGCCCATCTTCCTCCACTTTTTATGGGACGCCGCCATAGCATGGCTTGACATGGCCTGCATCGGTACGCTCCTGGGATCCGAGCCCTGGGCCGCCAGCAGCATAGCGTGTGCGCTTAACCACTACGCCACAGGGTCGGCCCCCTCAACCTGGACATTTTAATTTAAATAAATGTAGTGAAGAAGGACACATAATGTGATGAAAATACCATTGAACTTGAGTAAAAAAACCATGAGGTCTCAGTCTTTCTACTTTGAATGATAAACTCCTTATTTTTGAATGTTTCCCAGTTCTGGTTGTTTTTGCCATTTTGCTTTTTTGATTGCTACTTCTGAAGTGTCTGTGCTCCCTCAAAAAAGGTATTAAAGGTATAACTTATACCATGTAAAACTGATGAACATATAGGTGAAAAATGAAAACGTTTCTTGTTAGAAGGTGGGATTCTTGGTTTTCTGGGTTTTTTTCTAAATCCATTATTGCTGTAATGCTGATGTCCAATAATTTTTATGAGTAGTAAAGGAAAAAAAAAAAGAGTAGTAAAGGGACCCAAAACTTTGGTCATTTGCTTATTAAAACTCTAATTAAACCTCTAGCTTTAAAAAAAGAAAGGGTATAGTTCCTGACTTCGGCTGACACACTTGTTGGTATGTACATCCTATGCACCTACTTTACCTCTCTCTGTCTATTCCTTACTTGTGAAATAATTCCAACCTTACCCACTCGCATGATTGATGTGAGCCTCCCAAGAGAATGTGCTAGAAGATACTTTTTAACGTGCGAAGTCGTATATAAGCATGAGGTCCTATTAATACAAACCCTGTCAGCTTTTCTTCTAGAAGTTTTAGTTCTTCAGCTCTGGATTTTGCTTCCTCTTCCAATCGCTCGACCAGCCTTTCAGCTTGTTCTTCCTTGTGCTGTAATGTATCTAGCTCACCCAGCACTTGCCTTAATTCATCCTCAAAGAGACTCCTCTCTTTAATCATTTCCTCTTGAAAAGAACACAGCTTCTGCTGAAGACTAGAAGATAATTCCTACATCCAAATAGAAAACCACCAAAATAATTTGAAAAGTTTTAATAATTTGTGAGGTTTCACTAAGGACAAAAAGTACAGATAATGAAGTATAAAAACTAAATTCAAGAGCCTCAAGGAAATTTGAAAAATATAGACATCATACTCATTTTGTCATGGATTATATCCTACATCTCGGTAACATTGTGGCAAATGTTATTTCAGTCTTTTTTCTATGCAATGTATACATACGCTTTTTTTTTTTTGTGAGGAAGATCGGCCCTGAGCTAACATCTGCCAATCCTCCTTTTTTTTTTTTTTTTGCTGAGGAAGACTGGCCCTGGGCTAACATCCATGCCCATCTTCCTCTACTTTATATGGGACACCTCCACAGCATGGCTTGCCAAGCAGTGCGTCGGTGCGCCGCCGGGATCCGAACCGACAAACCCCGGGCCGCTGCAGCGGATCACTTGCACCTAACCGCTTGCGCCACCGGGCCAGCCCCTCCATATGCTTTTTGTAAAACTAAAATCATATTTTACAGGTGGCTTTTATGATATATTTTTCTCATATATTATATAAAAAGTGTACTGTGATTTCAAAGTTATATAAATATATTTTAAAGTTATAGAATACACCAATAAATCACCACTATAATTTAAATCACCATTAAAAAATTCTAATATTACAAATAAAGTGGAAATTGCCTTTTGACTACTCCCCACTTCAATCTCAGTTTTCCCATTCCAGAGAAGATCACTAGTTTGTATATATGCCTTCTGGTCTTTTTACACACATTTTTAAAATATAAATGATATATTCTCTGTATATGTAAAGGTCATTTAAAAAAATCATAAAAATAGTTGTTGAGATCATTTCAAGTCAGTATATATATAGCTACTTAATCCCTTTAGTTGTTACAGGTTGCTCAACAATATTTCACATCAGTGCACGTGAGTACTTATTTGCCCAACTCTCACCAATGTGTTATATTATCAAATGTTTTAATTTCTGCCAATCTTATAAGTGAAAAAAAATTTCCATCACTGATTACTACTGAGGTAGAGCATCTTTTCATGCTTACAGGCTATCTGAATTTCTACTTCTGAGAATCATCTATTTCCATCCTACACCCAATTTTTAATTGGACTGTCTTTTCTCATTGACATGTAAAATGTTCTTTATGTAATCTAGATTTTAAAAAATTGTCAGTTTTGTTTCTTGTGTAACTAGACACTCTAATGCAGTAATCTAACACAAGAATGTGCTGGAATTTTTTTTAAATGATTTACTATTTTGTTTCATTTGTTGTTTGCAATTTTTTCACATTATTAATAACCCTGTGGTGAACATCTTTGTAGCTAATCTGCAGCATAGCCATAATTGTTTCCTTAGGATAAGATTCTAACAGTAGAATTGTTGGATTAAAGAATATAGACAATTTAAGGGTTTGCTGATACAGAGGGAAATGTATGACATAAAATAAGCACTAGTTTTTTTTATACTGTAGTAAACTACCTTCTCTTGTTGTAGAAGTGAATCAATTTGCAACTCTTTTTGTTGTAGCTTTTCATGTTCTTGTTTTTCAAGAATAAACTTCTCTTTTAAGTTTTTCATTTCAGAATTTAGATTTTCTTCCCAATCTCTATGCCTGTTGATGAGATCTTCTATAAAAGGAAAAAACATTAAAAAAGCTGTTATTAGACACTAATATTAACTTTGAGAAACACAGATTCCCATAATATTCCACTATATTGCTTTATTGCTTTTAGTATATTACACAGATAAAGCATTTCAAAAAAAGAATACAAGACATAAGTCTAAAGTTTGTATCATTACTATATGTAATACAGTATTACATCCTATATAATAAAACCCCCAAACCTAGTTCTACATATCTACCAATTATAAATGGCCACCCGACAGGGAAGTCAAGAAATACACAAATGTATATACTTCAACCAAGACAAACAACGTTGAAATAAACAGAGAACAAACATTATAAAAGACAAAATCTCTCATATATACAAGATTTTTTTTTGTTTACATAATTTTTTAAAAAGTTGTTTTAACATAGTAGTACTTTTCTTAAATACCATACATAGTACTTATCTGAGAAAGTAATATTATAAATACTAGAATACCTTTTTCTTTTTCAAGCAGCTGACATTTAGCATTCAGGTCTTCTACTTGTTTAGACAACATAACATTTTCCTCAAGAGATTGCTTAAGGCTTAAAACTTCATTATTCTTCTCTTTCAAATTTTCTTCTAACTGGGCAATATCTATCTTGTATTTTTCTACTTGATCTGATGCACAGCTGCATTAAAACAAATTATTTTGAAGAGCAAATCTATTTAGGCATAGGGAAAATTAACTGAAAAATGATAAAAATGATATATTCATCACTATTCAACAAAATAAAGTCCAATTTAAAACTACTGTTCATATTACCTAATTTCTTCAATGTATTCCAAGAGTTTTTCTGTTTCAGATTTTTCATCAATCTTTTCTTTCTCTATTGAAATACTAAAAAAAAGAAATTGCATATAATAATACACACTAGTTTATTTATTTAATAATCACACATAATGCTTACTCTGTACCAGATACTGATGTATCAGGCAGGCTGTCTCGAGAGTTCAAACTATTAACCACTATTTTATGTGACCTCTCAAGTTGACAATTTAATACATGCAAATAGGAAACTCAAGTTTTCTTTTAAGTGAGAAAGCTTTCCAAATATATTTTGACAAAAGGGTTGTGATGACCAGAGTCATCATCTACAACATTCCAAGTGTTAGGAATAATTTTCTTTGTAGCTTTTCTGGTTTCCCCACCCCCACACATACAAAATAGCATTTTGCGCGCTATAAAGCCTTTGTTCCAGGCTGCTTTGTATTCAATTAGTTATGTGTTTACCTCCTCAACCAATTCAATTTAAGAAATGGGCAAGACACCTTACAAAAGGATATATATGAATGGTCAATAAGCACATAAAGAGATGCTCAACATTTATAGTAACAAATTAAAATCACAAATGAGGTACTACCTCATACCTACTAGAAAGACCGAAATCAAATAGATTGAAAACATCAAATGTTGGTGAGGATGTGGAACAACTGGAACTATCACACACCGTTAAGTGGGAGTGTAAAATGGTACCACCACTTTGAGTTTTTTAACACGTTACACATATACTACTCTATGACCCTGGATTCCACTCCTAGGTATTTACCCAAGGGAAATAAAAACATACGTCCACAAAAAGACATGCAACATATTCTTAGCAGTCTCATTCATAACAGTCAGAAATTGAAAACCCAAATATTGATCAACAGAATAGTAAACAAATGGAGGTATCTTCATACTGAAATACTACTCAAAAATAAAAAGGAACAAATTATAATACACATAACAGTATGGATGAATCTCAAAAAATTATGTTAAAAAAAAGAAGCCACAGGGGCCGGCCCGGTGGCACAAGCGGTTGGGTGCGCGCGCTCTGCTGCGGCGGCCTGGGGTTCGCTGGTTCAGATCCAGGCACACACTGACGCACTGCTTGTCCAACCATGCCGTGGCGGCATCCCATATAAAGTAGAGGAAGATGGGCATGGATGTTAGCTCAGGGCTGATCTTCCTCAGGAAAAAAAAAAAAAAAAAGCCACAAACACACACAGATGCACACACTGTGATAAACATCCCCAAAAAGACAAAACTAATTTATGATGACAGAAGTCAGAAAGTGGTTGTGGGGGTGGGGGACATTACACGGGGAGAAGCAGGGGAGAAGGAAGGGGCATGAAGGAACTTTTTGAGGGGATGACAATGTTCTCAATCTTGTTTGGGCGGTGATTACAAAGGTGTATGCAATTGTCACTCATCAAACTGAATACTTATGATCTGTGCATTGTACTGTATGTAAAATACAGCTCAGTAATAAAAAGAAGGCTAGGATTGTGCATGAAATCAGCTTCCTATACCACTGTCTCTCAGTTTTGGTTTCACTTAACTCCACAAGATTATGCTATTAGAAAGATTATGAGGTCTTTTCTCAGCACTGATACCAGAAGATCTACAAAAGTAAAACATTCCTACGTCTTTTCAGCATAAACCGTCTGGGAATGATTAGGGCTCAGCTGTCACTTAGGAAGAGAAATAGGGCAAGTAGAGGGAGGCCATGAGGTAAATATTGAGGGAAGGGTAAACTCTCAGTGCACAATAACTAGGTGAGAGAAGGAAATCAAGAACTGGTTATCTTAAGTCACTCCTCTTGCTTTTCAGTCACTCACAGTTTCCCCTCAAGGTGTGCTGTTTTCCCCTGAGACTCTTGGAGATTCTTCTGGGTGACCTGCAGCTTCACCTCCATGCCTTCTTGTTGAGCCATCATACTCTACACAACAGAAATATCTGTTTTAGGAAACGAGAAATTGTGCAGATTCCCAGATCCAGACACAGCAAACTGAGCAAAAGTATTGCTCACCTTCGTCTTTGTTTCTTTTCTGTTTTTAAGTTTCATCAACTCGAGGCTTAGAATTCTCATATTCTTCTGGTTACCATCTTCAGAAAACTAAGTACAACAAATATGTAAAAAATTCAGAAACATGTTCTGCTAAGTCATATATAAAATGACTTAAATATTGATATCTATTATTGGGACTATTATTCACCCACAATATACTCTGGTAGAGAAAACAGCCTTTGATCAACTCCAGTTTTACACTACTACTGTTCTTGTCTCTCCTTTTCCTTATGTGACTTTCTGGTTTATTTTTGAAAGTAGCTTGGGTGGTCGCTTACCTTGATATGCTGGAAAGTCCATTGCGGGGCTCTAAAACAAGCATCTTGGAGAAGATTTTGTAAAGTATGTTTGCTTAACAAAATGCATCTGAATTGCCGGGTCTACTTTGAAATATGCAGAAAATAGGGTCCATCCCAGGCATACTATAACAGAATCTCCCTGGGTAGGGCTCAGGAATCTGCTCCTTTCCCCATGCTTGATTCTTATGCACCCTCGCTCCTTTCGTAAGCAAAAAGCCCAGCACATTACAGGCCCTGAAAAAATGACTCACTAAACTGAACAGTGATTTACAGCCTCCCTCTACTTCTGTAAAAAGCAAGATGACCATGTTAAGTTCTTTAAGATCTATTAATATCAATAAACACAATTTATCTATTAAAATTGAGTCCACAAATTTATTCATTTCCCACTTCATTCCCAAAAGGATTTGAAATGGAAGTCTGCTATTATGCTACTATTTATTTCAGAGAAAGATCTTTAAAGTGACTCCTAGATGTAAATTCTGCAACTTTTATGAATGGCCTTATTTATTGGGGGTGACTTTGAAGGTGGGTGAGAAAATGTCAGACATTGAAACAAAAAGTTATTTGTTTATAACTTCTTATGTACCAGGTACCATAAGAAAAAAGATGCAATAATAATTCCTATTGGAAGCAGCTTAATATTTAAGGTACATTTGGTGAAGGAAAAGGACTAAACTAGAGCCTAAAATTCCCAAACTATAAGAGAAAAAACATGATTATTATTTATTCAATTGTATATTTGTATATTATTCAATTGTATATTGGTATATTATTTATTCAATTATCATGAGGTTCAAATACCTTAGATTTTAGTAGCTCATTAGTCTTGGTTAATTCAATAAGCTGTTTTTCCAGTGAAGCATTACTTGCAGAGAGAGAGATTTTTTCCCGGACTGCAGCATTCAGCTTTGCGTCCATCTTCTCCAATTCAGCTTCCAGATCCTGGATCCGCTTGTCCTGAACACCACGTTCCTGAACAAGAACACGAATCTGGACAGAAACAAGATGATAAACAAATGATTCACTGATACAATGCCAATTTAACTAGATGCTACTGATACTTAAAATATTAAAGTTCTAAAAAAATCTCTGATTTTGACATGATGCTCTTAGATATTCTAATTTCACCAGCTGTTTGAACAATCATATTTACTTTATGATACATCTCAAAAATCTGTATGCATTTTAAGAACAGAAGATTTTAATTGCCATAAACTTCCAAGTGCAATTAACTGTTTATTCACTTTGAAGATATTTCTACCTATAAGAGTTCTTCTTTTCTTTAGTTCTAATTACATGAATTTAAACTATAGTTTCAAGTGCTAAATATGTTTTTTATTTCAAGAAGGCAGAGCTGGGTCTCTGGGTAGGATGTAGTAGGCATCAGTAAGCCATCATTCCTGCTATCATCACTAGATAAAAACAAAATCAAAATCAAAACCACATATTTGTCAACAGAATATGTGGAAGCCAGAAGACAATGAAATAACATCTTTAAAATGTGGGGGGGGCGGCCCAGTTGTGCAAGTGGTTAAGTGTGCGCGCTCCGCTGTGGCGGCCCGGGGTTCCCCAGTTCAGATCCCGGGTGCGCACCGATGCACCGCTTGGCAAGCCATGCTGTGGTGGCATCCCATATAAAGTGGAGGAAGATGGGCACGGATGTTAGCCCAGGGCCAGTTTTCCTCAGCAAAAAAAGAGGAGGATTGGCATATGTTAGCCCACAGCTGATCTTCTTCACAAAAAAAAAAAAAAAAAAAGTGGGGGGTAAAATCCGTCAGTCTAAAATTCTATTTCCAATGAAAATATCCTTTAAATATGAAGGTGAAATATGGATATTTTCAGAGGAAAAAAGGTGAGAGTATTTGTCAACAGTAGGCCCACAAAACAAGAAAAACTAAAGGAAGTTCTTCAGCTTGAAGGAAAATGATCCCAGATGTTTACAAGATATGTACTTTAAATATAAAGACACAGATAGATTGACAACAGAGGGATCAGAAAATATTTACCACGTAACTATGAAACAAAAGAAAGCCGGTATGGCTATGTTAATATCATACGAAGTAGAGTTTAAGGTAAAAAGTATTACTAGTGATAAAGACAGAATTTTATGATAAAAAAATCATTTCTAGAGGAAGACATAATCTTAAATTTGTTGTGCACCTAATACCATAACTTCAAAATATATAAAGCAAAAACTGACAGAACTAAAAAGAGAAATAGACAATCCACAGAACTGGAAATTTAAAAGTACTTCTCTCAGTAACTAATTGAATAAGCAGACAAAAATATCAGTACAGATAAAGATTTGCACAAAACTATTAACCAACTTGAACTAGCTGACATATATAGACCACTATACCCAACAAGTGAATATACATTTTTTTCTAGTGCACACAGAACATTTATCAAAATGGACAATTTGCTGGGTAAAAAGCAAGTATCAAGAAAGCACAGCTATATTAAGTCACATGTAAAGTATTTTCTACTATTACTGGCTTTGTATTCATACAAATCTCAGTATTTTAAGCCAACATTGCTTAACCGAAAATGTACCAAGCACCACTTATATACAAAGCCGTGAACTATATGTTAGGGACTGAACGAGCTTATATTTTAGTTTCCTAACCAGTGTTTAGAGCATAGTATTATAAAGTAGAAAAAAGACCCCTGAGATTATCTACATCACACTTTTTGCAGCAAAAGCAGCTTAAGTTCCAAAAAAGGGTGTGTAAACTCAAATGCTTATATGGCCAAGCAGATAAACAAGTAAAGGGCCAGGTGAGGGCTGAAGAGCAAATGTGTGGTCTAGAGGAGGCAGCCCTGCGTAGCCCTAGTAGAGTGTTGCCCTGGAGGGGAATGCAAAACAGTGTTGTCAGATCTTCTGATTTTGCAACAGAAGTCAGAAATCCGAACTTGTTTTGCATGAAATTTTACTTTTAAATATTGATAATTAATTCAAATTAAACAAACAACAAATACTGTGGGGCTTAAATAAAATAGTCTATTTGTCAAAAATCTCTGTTCTAAAAGATTAAGTAACTGACCCAAATTATCAGTTCTAATCCTGGCACTGCCAGTTACCTACCAGCTATCTCACTCAGGCTCAGTTATTACATCTCTAAGTATTACTCCCTACATTACAGGCATGTATCCTCACTAAAATGATAGCTAACATTATTAAAATAAATACAAAAAGGATCAGAGCAACCAGGGCAGAAATTTACAAAGTTACCTTGACATATTCTTGGTCCTAAGTCAATATTTAACCGTAATCAATGGACAGTTTTAATACATCAAAAGAATATGTCCAGGGGCTGGCCCGGTGGCGCAAGCAGTTAAGTACATGCGCTCTGCTGCGGCGGCCCGGGGTTCACCGGTTCGGATCCCCGGCGCCCACCGACGCACCATTTGTCAGGCCATGCTGTGGCGGCGTCCCATATAAAGTGGAGGAAGATGGGCATAGATGTTAGCCCAGGGCCAGTCTTCCTCAGCAAAAAA